TATATATATATATATTATGATTTTAATAAGTTATTTTTAATTTAATAAATTAATTAGTCCATTTCTGAGATTAAATCAGAATACTAAATTGTAAATAATAGGGTTCGAATTGAAAATAATTTACAATTCCAATTCCTGAACGGTTCAATTATTGATTGAAAAAAAATCAATTTCATTGTTTAATTTAGAAATACGATTTAATTCTTACAAAAGGTGTTTTTAAACTAACGCTTCAGTCTTTTTAGAGGCAGCATAAACGCTATCCAGTAATTGGCTTTAACTATATATTAAATGTCATTACTAAACAAACAAAAAATGTGGTAATATATTTATTTAATTAATTTTCATGAAATACTACTGTCAAAATTCATAATGTGTATTTGTAACTAGACATTGTCTTATGAACAACCAGTTAGTAAGTACCCTATGAGTGTGAGCAAATATTATGTATACGTGAAGTATAAAATAAAACCAAAAACTGTGTGATTTTGATTCATACATTAACAGTCAGTCCTTTGGGAATGAAAAAGTACATTCTACAAAGTTGCAGCAGCAGTAGCTCTTATACAGGAATTCCAAAACGGGATTCCTTTGCTGTTAACGCTTTCACAGAAAGAATTAAATTATAATATATAGAAAATGCAAAAAAAGAACACCAAATAAAATTTATGCACATCATTTATTTAATATATTTTTATAGTACTCACTTTCTGTATATTTATTAGTTCTGAACTCTGATTTGTAGAACAAATTATCCCCCCCCCCAAAAAAAAATAATAATTAGAAAATAACAAAGTGATGCACATGCCCTTCTCCATTTCCATTTTAATCAACAGTCCACCAATCATCTCATTTTAGAAGTAGTGAATGCATTAGAATCATCAGACTATTTAAATTGATTGGCTTCTTTTGTTGGACAGGAGGACGTTTTAAAAAGGAGATTGTAGTGGATGGACAAAGTTTCCTCCTCCTAATCAGGGATGAAGGGGGACCTCCGGAGGCTCAGGTAGGTAGTACAGCCACAAATACAATGTGTTTTCCTTACAGAGGATGTTCTGATTCACAATGCTGTGCCGTAAGGCCCGTTCACACCAAGCACGATAACTATAAAGATAACGATAAAGATATAGTTCTAAAAATCATTCTCAATATTAAAGAATAGCAGAGTCCACACCACAGCTATAACGATAACGATAAAGAGGAACAATATCGTTGTTATCACTTTCAAAACGATTTTTTCCTAGCTGATGAACGATAAAAACATTGACAGCCAATCAGAATCCATCCTGCTGTAACAAGCTCAAGAATTCAAAGCGGCAGACGCGCATGAGCTTAGAATAAACAGATGATATTGTTCGCTGGTGTGGACGCTAATATCGTTATCTTTATCGTTATCGTTCTTGGTGTGAACGGGGCTTTATTAGTCTCAACTCTGGATGGCGTAGCTGTAACAATATATTAATTTTGTTTAACAAAGCGGCTGAGTGGAAGCCATGATGTAATAGGGTTTACATGAGGTTGATAACATTTATTTAGACAAACTGATTCTCTGTTAGTCATAAAATGCAAACAGGAAGTCTCATGTGCCTCTTTCTCTTGGTCTATGAAATATGAATTTTATGGTGAGTCTCAATCTGTTTCCTAGTTCAGTAAGTGCACTGAGCAGGGAGTGCTCTCAGAACTGTTTCAGTGCACTTATTATGGAAATTCCCAGAATTAACCATATAAATCCTGCGAGCATTGGTTGTTCCATATATATTCACTTACCTGAAATGTTGTCAATGTTTTCTTAAGTCTCAAAAAGTATGAAAAATGTATGAAGATAAAAAATATTCTGTCTTTAAAAAGTAAGACTGTATTATTTTCATGTCTAATGAAAGAGAAACAATCCTGCAAAATGTTAAAACAAAAAACAAAACATGAATTATGTATAGTTATAAGAACACCCCACCTATTTATTTTACTTCGTTTTTTGTTTTACTGAGGTGCTATTATTTATATTGTAGGAGTGTTTTGGTCATAATAAATGTAATATATAGTGTATACTGTATACACTTTTATTTTTTCAGGACAAGCCCATTTTCAATATTTCATTAACACTCTGTATTTTTTGGACAGCTACAACTAAGATGCATAATGGGAATGTTGATGATAACTGATAAATACCGCCTGTGTTTTAATGCACGACTTTAAAATCATAACACAGCTAATTGAGTCATCAGTGTCCCAGTATGTAGTGGTTCAAAGCCCTTGCTAGTGCACAAGCTCACATTCACAATAATCGCATCATAGGGAATAGGGAGTGGAAAATTATGAAATATAAGGATCTATGAAATACGTTTAGCCTATTTTAAACAAAGAAGCATGATGTTTCTCTCTCATTTTCAAAATTTTTCCCACGCTCTCAATCATTCTTTCTTAGTTTGCGTTGTGGGTGGATGCGGTGATATTTGTGTTCAGTCTGGAAGATGAGATCAGCTTTCAGACGGTCTACCACTACTATAGTCGTATGGCCAACTACCGCAACACAGCAGAGGTGCCCCTGGTGCTTGTGGGAACTCAGGGTGAGTCTTGCAGAGAAAAAACCCCAAAAAACCTGGATATATCATATGACAGCAACTCACACTCAAAATTCAAGGCCATATTCTCCAGTGGCTTGGCAACAAATTGAAAAGAATACAGTTTGACTACTAGACTCAAATTCCTTACATGTTTCAGAGATTGTTGATCAGTTTTTAATTATGTGTTGATCAGTTTATAATTAAGTTTAATTATGTGTTTCCCTGTGTGGGCAAGCATTATTTCTCAATCTTTTTTTATATATACACTACTGTTGAAATTTTTTTTGAAGTCTGTAATGCTACCGAGACTAAATTTATTTGATTTATGAATAAAGAGATAAATAAAGATTCTGTAAAAACAGTAACATTCTAAAATAATATTACAATTTGAAATAACTGTTTTCTATTTTAATATATTTTAAAATGTAATTTTTTCCAGTCATGGCACAGCTGAATTTTTTGAATCAGCTGAAGTACTCCAGCCTTCGATGTCACATGATCCTTAGGAAATCACTCTAATATTCTGATCTGCTGCTCAAATTGCTATTTCCGTGGAAACCGTGATACATTTTCACGATTCTTTGTTAAATAGAAAGTTCAAATAAAATATTTTGTAACATTATAAATGCCTTTACTGTCACTTTTGATCAATTTAATGCAAAAGTATTAAATTCTTTAAAAAAAAAAATCAGACGCCACACTTTCAAATGCAGATATATATTTATGTTAAATAATACAAGAAAAAAACATAACATTCCTACTACTTGTGTTTTCGTTATATGATCACTAGGGGGTGCCACACTCTAATTAATGGAAGATTAGAGCTAAAGCTCTTCTACTTGTTCTGAAATATGTCCAGAAGTTTTTTGATGAATTTGAAGCCTCTTTCATTTGATTTAATGATGTTTTTAAAACATTAATTATTTGCCTGTTTTTATTCTGACCAGTTTTAGTTTCAAATTTCTTTGTCTCGTCCTGACCATTCACAGATGCAATCAGTGCAGCCAACCCTCGTGTCATCGATGACACCCGCGCTCGTAAACTGTCCAACGACCTGAAGAGGTGCACATATTATGAGACCTGTGCTACCTATGGCCTCAACGTGGAGCGCGTCTTCCAGGATGGTGAGTCTATCGTACTGTCCTAAGTAGTTTAAAGTGTAAGCTTTATATTTTTGCTGCAAAAAAATTGAATTTACTTGCAAAGTTGTGTTTAAACACCTAAACAAACACAAGGTCATCATCAGTGGTGGTTTAAATCTAACATTCTTCCCGGATGTGTCAATTATATGTCACCTCTGTTAGATTTAGATTCATTGCAGCACCGGTCATAACAGTGCATGCTTGGATAACTCTTACTTTTGCATTATGTAGGATACAGCATAAGGAACAGGAGGCATGAATTTACTTGCAAAGTTGTGTTTAAACACCTAAACAAACACAAGGTCATCATCAGTGGTGGTTTAAATCTAACATTCTTCCCGGATGTGTCAACTGTATGTCACCTATGTTAGATTTAGATTCATTGCAGCACCGGTCATAACAGTGCATGCTTGGACAACTCTTACTTTTGCATTATGTAGGATACAGCATAAGGAACAGGAGGCAGAAAGTGCAAGGTGACTTTGCTGCTGAATAGCCGACCCAATCTGGCTTAATCAGCTCTTAATTACAAGCTAAATGGCCCATCTCGCCTTGCGTGGCTCTGTGAGGTATAGAGATAGCCGTGTTGTTCTGTGTGCTGGATTTTGCTAGGACACTTTGAGAAGTAAGATTTCACGAGCTTCATTAACCGTGTCAGGTGTAGTGTTGCGTACTTGCTGTTAAAATGAGTAAAAACACTATAATCTAGCAGAGATAGAGCGAGGAAGAAGTTGTTAGCAGCCTTTGAGACCTGAGCTCCACTAGGGGGCACAAGATGGTAAGAAATGAGGCTCATTTCAGAAGATTTTATTATTCGGAAAAGCATTGGAGGACATTTTTCCTTGTTGGGAAATTGGAATTTTGTTCATGTATGTTTTGACAGATTTGATGTGCCATTTGTGCTGTTTATTATCAAACTGTGAGGTTTAGCAAGACATTTATATTTATGCTCCTGGCAAGTGCTTTGTGGCTTAAATATCTTTTAAGTGTTTTCGAGTGCATATTGTGTAAACTGTTAGTACCATAAAGTTATAATACACACGTGTAGTTAAAAAAAGGAAATCCCACTAAAACTCCAAGAAATCCCCAAGAAATTAATTCCCTTTTGATGTATCATCACTATAGCCAGCAAAGCGTTACTTTATAAAAAAATTCGCCACAGTAAACTGTTTCCCGTGTTATGAATGAACGATGAATGTGTCGAAAGTTTGGGGTCAGTAATTTTTTTTAAATGTATTTATTTTGAAAAAGTATAAAGTGACTATCAAATTTTACATTTTTATATAAAAGTACTTGTTTTTTTGTTTTGTTTTTTTACTTTCCATTCATCGAAGAATTCTGAGAAAATATATCACCATTTCCATAAAAATATTAAGTCTGTTTTTAACTGTTTTTAACATTGATAATAGATAAAGGTAAAGGTAAAAAAAAGATAGACTAGAGAAGAGAACATGAGATATTTTGATTTACACTGTTTATCCTTTTATTGGACTTTCACTGCAATGTATTACGTTTCCTTCTTGGTGGAGAACATTTCCTCCCATTCTTTCTATCTTTCTCATCCATTTTAAAAAGCCTGGACCTGGAAATCAGTAAAAAACAAAAAAAAACAACATTCAATTTTCAAATTTTTTACACAAATTTTAGTGTTAACCATATTATTTATACAACCATTTACTATACTATTTACCATATACTACACTACTGTTTAAAAGTTTGGGGTTGGTCATTTTAATAAATAAAAAAAATCTTATATGCATACCATTTATTTGATCAAAATATAAATGGATATAGATATATTAGAATGAGCACAAAATTAACATTGAATGATTTCTGAAGGATCACGTGACACTGAAGACTGGAGTAATGGCTGCTGAAAATTCAGCTTTGCCATCACAGGAACAAATAACATTTTTAAATATATTAAAATAGAAAACAGTTATTTTGAATTCTTATAATATTTCAAAATATTAATGATTTTACTGTACTGTTTTTACTTTTTGATCACATAAATGCAGCCTTGGTAGACACAAGACACTTTTAAACGTACAATCTTGTCGCCCCTGAACTTTTGAACAGTAATATCTATCGATCTGTTTTTACCTAAACAAGCATATCTCTAATAACAGGTGAAGTAAATATGGTGCAGAATGTAATACTACTTTGATGAACACTGACAGCTACACACAGCAGTAGTAAATACAAATGCTTACACTGCTTATTGGTACAATATATACAAGCAGCAAACATGCATTTGTGAACACTTCATTGTGAGTTGTCAATTCTCATAACTGAACCTTCAGTTCAGTTATTTCTTAAAGATCTGATTGAATGTAACTGGTTCTTCTGTCCCCACTGAGGAAAAAAAAGAATGCCTGAACCTGGGCAAGTATGATCCATCATGAAGAGATCTGGGAGAGTTGATGACTGGTTTAGCGAGTCTTGGTCTGAGCTGGATGATGGGTTGGAGATGGTGGGGCCCCCTGGAAACAATGCTAACAAATTTGATCTTGCCAGCTATGAGCATCCATTATATAGACACGAAGAAACATAAGAGAATATTGTGAAAAGAAATGGAAATCCAGAACAACCATTTAATTCAAACTGACACTTTTCTGACCTTTCCCTGGGCCCAGTTGATCATCCATATTGATATTCAGTGAACGTTTGTTGTTGTGATGTTTGTGTGTTTTTCTAAGTAACTCTATCTTGTTTGTATATTTATATATGGACACATTGGTTTGGTTTGCATGTGGCATTACGTGTGTTTTGTGTATTTGCACATGCATGTGTCTGCGTGTGGCTGGCTGGCAGATGCACGCAGCTCTTCGGAGGGGTTGGGCAGGCTGAAGCGTTCAGTGCTCCATCCAGGAGGGAGATTTACACTCTAAACGCTCAGCTATTATCTTCTTAATTATTACACTGTTGGCTGCAGCCAAGACTGCTTTAATTTAACTGTGTGTGTGTGTGTGTGTGTGTGTGTGCGCATGCATGTCTGTATGATGGCCAAACTCATCAGTAGCACTAAATGAGAGCAAGAAAAGGCTAAATTCCTGATCATTACTGACGCTGTCTCCTCGCATCTCTCATTTCATTATCCTCAATTAATCATGCATTCTAATTATCCACTGTAGTGGAATTTATTGATGAGTAGCAAAATGATTATTTTAATGTTTTGTGTTGCATTGATAGCATAGCAACTGCCCAGAGGTGTGTTTTGTGTGTGTGCGCGCGCAGACTCATGTCATTTTGTTTGCCTGATTTGGGCCTATTTTTGCATCAGAGCAATGCATGAGGTGTGATTACTACACATGTGACCATAATTAAAGAGTTTTAATCACTGGATCACTGCAGATTTACAGGCTCTGTATGATTTTGTGAGAGAACTGGACAATAGCAGTTGATAATTTAGTTGATCATCTCAAAGTAGAAACAGTATGGACTGATCTTAAATCTGTTTGGCTCCATAATCATATTACACATGAACAATGTCATTTTAGTATTTGAAGCAGAAAGAGAAAAAAATCCATTCTGACTTTACAACATAAAATAACTGTGTTACCAGAAAGGTGTGCATTTTGCAAAAGTGCCACGCTGCAAAAATATTTATAATTATAATATCAAATAAAAAGATAAATACAAATAAGATATAAAATACAAATTAAATAATAATTTTCATACTTGGTCTTTTGTTCATTTTTTATTTCTAAAAATATTTGTGTGTCATTCTAGTATTTAAATGAGAGAGAGGTAATATAATATGATATAATATACTAGGGATGTACCGAATATTCGGCCACCGAAAATGGCCCAAAAGCGCATTTTCGGTTTTCGACTGAAAGACTTTTATCACCGAAACAATACGGCCGAAATGTTGTGATGACACAAACTGAAACCGCGACCTGCACGTGCTTGTCTGAAGCAACATGTCTGCGGTGTGGACGTATTTCAGTATATCTGCGAAAGACCACCAGACAGCGATTTGCAAAACATGCAATGCCGAAATTTCAAGAGGGGGTGCATCTGCAAAGACTTTATCCACGTCGGGTTTAATTAATCACCTGAAATCCAAACATTCCGATCGCTACGCTGAATATGAGAGGAACGCGGCACAGAAAAGGAAAACGCCGAATATTCGGTGCATCCCTAATTCTTATCCAAAACAACTAGATGTGATATGAGTGTGATACATACATACAAAGATGGCACGCAAGTACTTGTCTGCTCCGTGCACAAGCACTGACAGCGAGAGACTGTTCAGTGCAGCAGCTCATGTTCTCGATGAGAAGAGGAACAGACTTCACTGTGATAAAGCAGAGAAGCTACTTTTCATCAAGAAAAACCTGCCACTTTACCTCAAGAAGTAGAATGTGCTTGTCTAGTGTTTAAATATTTATTATCCACTTTGCACATCTGCAATTCTTGGTGCATTTGTTGTTGTTAAAGTTCTACGGTTAACAGATGGGCTATGGCAGTCTTTGTTTTGATACACTATTATGTTGAAGGCCTACAGAGAAAATATTGTTGTATCTTTAAGCAGTTGCACTTGTTCTGAATGCACTTTCTTGTAGTAGTCCTACAGAGAAAAATTTTAAATGTACTTGACCTAAATGCACTTTGTTTTTATGAGAGAACATTTCATTTTAAAACCTTTCTGCAGGCCAGTAGGCCTGTACATTATTATTTAATGTACACATGAGTGGGGTCAAGTTAAACATTTTAGTTTGAATTTTATTTTATACTGTGCATTGTTGCAATGTGCTAAATAAATATTTCCATAATTTGTAATTGATTTATTCTTTGAAACTTTAATATTAATTTATGCAATTGCAATGCCTTGATTTTAGTAAAGTTAGTACACAGTCATAGCCATAAATGCAATGGTACTAATAATTGGCATAATTTCTTTCGGTGTTTCGGTTTTCGGCCTTGGTTTCCTCTTTTTCGGTTTTCGGTTTCGGCCAAGAATTTTCATTTTGGTG